ACACACACACACACACACACACACACACACACATAAATAAATAAAATAAATAAATTTAAAATCCAAACAACCCACATTCAGCAATTTATTTTTACTTCTCCTTTTTTTACTAAAAAACTGTGCAAACTGGTTTGCTCATAGGTCATTTTCATTGCTACATATGTGTGTGCATAGAATAGCTTCGATAATTTATTGTTGAAGTCTGATGGTCTAGTGAAAGAAGCAGGTAATAGTTAAATATTTTGCTTATTTCTTTTTAATTATTGTGACCAATTTTATATGCTTATATCTGGTAATCTGAACAACTACTTTTAAGACAGCAATCAATATGACAATTATTGTTCAATTCCGTTTGTTTAGTGAAATACTCTATTGCTTACAAGTAGTTTTTTCTTTTATTATGTTTTGTTCTCTTTTAAAAATAGAAAAGATACTATATTTGAAGTTTGTTCCTTTACAACCTCAGCTCTACTCTGAACAGAATTCTTGCTAGGAAGAGAATTCAAAATTTGGATGAGCAACTCATTTTTCTTTTCTTTTTTCTTTTAGTTTTTGTTTAGCACAGGGTCTACAGGGACTCAGTACACAGATCAAACTCATAGTGATTCTCATGTTTTCAGCCTCCCAAGTGCTGGGATAATTGGTGGGTGTCACCACGCCCAGTTTCAATTGCTGTCTCAGCATGACCTGGGGATCAGGCTGGCATGGTACGCCAGGGATCAAACCACAGTACCTGCAGAAGAACTATTCTTAACTGATATGTTCACTTTTTGCACCACAGATGTTCTTTTCAAATTGCATATTATATCTTCTGGGCCTACAATGTTTTCATTAGAGGAAGACCTAAAGTGGTCTAGAGGATGCATAAGGAATCTATGCTGCCACATCCAATGGTTCTTTCTCCATATTTAACCTGCTGTTCCAGTAAAAGAGGATCCATCAGGTTTCTCCCCTCCTGAGACCATTTTTCCTTTGCTTTGAGATCATCAATGTATACACAGATATTATTTGTGGTACTGGCGCCATTTAAGAAATTTGGTGGACTCTGAGCAGCATGTAGTACTCTGGTAAACTCGAACTTTTTCACTCCCGTCGAACAGGTGTGGAGATTCTACTGGTTCCTGTCCAAACTTTAAAACTTAGCAGGATTCTGAGTGCCCTCTGGGATGCAGGAGATCTATAATCTATGGGCCCAGATGGAGCAGGCATGGAGCTTTCCTGGAGCCATTTAAGAACTTGCACAGACTCTGGACAGCCTGCAGAATTCTATCTGTATTATTACTTGAACCTGTAAAGATGACAAAATACATGAGCAACGAGCAATCTCAATCCTGTAGCCCACCGAGAACAAGTCCAGGAGACAAAATCATACAAGAACTTGGAAATCACACACCTAAGATCTCTGAAATGATAGTAACTGAAGTAAAGAAAAGTCCATGAGGCTATAGAAGAAATAAGATCATAAATAATCTCTCAGGTCCAAAAAACAAATGACAACAATTATGAAAGAATTGCTCAGTACAGCTTTAAAAAAAGGCATAGATTTAACAAACTGAGAATAGAAAAATGATAGAAACACTGAATGACAACACAGGAAAGAATTCAAGTACATGAAACAGATTCTAACAGATATCTAGGAAAATCTATGAACTTTGATGTCTAAATAAGATCCTTTCATGACAAAGAACAACTGAACAAATTCATGAACTCCAAAGCAACACTACAACAGTACTGACAGATATTCCTGAATGAGACAAAAGTGTTCACAACTTCAAGAACAGAAAATAAATTACCAAAGAGAGGGAAGGGGCCAGACAAATTTTAACACATGAAAAATCAAAGGAGGAATAATACACTAGTAATGAGGACTTTAACATCCCACTGTCAAAAAGAGATCAAATAGGCAAAAAAAATATCAGTGAAGAACTAACAGAACTAAACCAAATTTTTAAAGAAATTCACATGATAGAGCTTTACAGTGTTTCACTGAGCAACAATAAAATATACATTCTACTCAGCTGCACAAGTCACATTCTCCAAAGTAGATCATATATTACATCACAGAGCACTCATAATTAAATGCAAAGGAATTTAAATTATACCATGCATACTACTTACCCATAGTGCAATAAAATTGGAAATAATTAACAAAACAAATTAAAAAAACTAGGCTGGCCAAATCGATCATCAAAGTAAAGCTCCTGCAAACAGGTACAGGGCAAGGGGTTGGATCCCCGGGCCTGCTATGCAGGCCCCACCCCAGGGGCAGGCAGAGACAGAGATTGAGACTGAATGTGGTGGTGCCCGCATACAATCCCAACTCTTGGGAGACTGATCTACTAGTGAGACCCTGAGCACCAGATTGATCCTTACCTAAAATGCAAAGAAAGAAAAAAGAAACAACGAAAGAAAGCCAGCCAGCCAGCCAGCCCCATAAGTATAAGGAAATTAAAAAACAACCTCCTAAAAAACCAGTGGCTCACAGATGAAATTACAGAAGAAATTAAAAATAAAATCTCAATCAATGAAAATGCAAATGCAATCTACCAAATAATGTGGGATGCAATTAAAGCTGCCTTAAGGGGAAAATTTATAACAGCAAATTAGCAAATTAGGAGAACAGAACAAGCCCCAATGATCTTTTTTTTTTAAATTTTATTGAGAAACAAATAGCAATGAGGCAGCTTCAAAAACAATTAGTAGGACTGTTTCAATAACTAATACATTGCATATTGTTGACTTCATAGTGGTTGTTCATAGTACAAGATGCAGACATGATATCCTGTCCAAACACTATTAGTACAAATATTTCTTCTCATTGAATTAAGAGTAAGTAGCTGCATATCTATCCTAACTATTTTGTATATACAGATACATAATGGTACTTCATTTGTATCCCCTTCTTTTCTTTAGTTTTGTCTCAGAAAGGTATTCCACTGCCACTTCAATATTGTGGGTGCATGAATTCAGCAAAATAACCCAATATACTCCAGTAGTCCATAATAGTAATGGGTTATCCGGACGACTGGCAATGTCAGAAGATGTTGACTTGAGCCTTTTAAAGATCAGCATATTAATATGGCTTTACTTTTATACCTCGTTTTTATACTTTTCTGCGGGATGGATAAGATCAAGATAAAGCAAGACATACATAACAAGAAAATTAACTTTTTTATCTGACAAGGTCAGTCAAATCCCCTCAGGATTTACCCTGAAACCCTGTACTGCAGTTTGTAGATCCTTTGTCAGTGCCCGCCATGTGGATGAGTCATGACCATTGCTTGACCAATTTGCTCTCTGTAAAAGCCTGAGAAAATGTTTTCTCTCCATGTGACTCTCCTTGGGCACACTCTACATCACTGATCACTTTCCTCTTTGGCCCATAATCTCCTTGATTAGTAAATTTGTGACATTACTGAATTACACGATGTTACTGCACAGGGTCTCCTATGTTCTGAGTCCTCACTGACCTTAAAAGTCTAAGGCCAAAATTTTGGCTGTCTTTGAAGCCCTTCTTTTTCTCTAAATTTTTGCCTTCAAACTTAAGTTATTAACTCTGCAGAAGAGAAGCTTAATGGTATTATAAGCCTATAACATAGGCAGTTGAGCTTAACCTCACAATCTATTTGAATATCAAACATCTTAGAAATAACATGGAACAAGTATTTTCTATCAAATGTTGATATGTTAAGTTTTAAATCCCTACAGCTATGAAGAAAAAGTAGAAAAATAAAAAATATTTTAAAAATAGGAATAAACAATTATATATTTTTACACAGAAATTTAGAAATCTAACAGTATGCAGTATTGTAGCAGGACAGTACTATAATATTTTTTCTTCTTGTCTTTTGTTTTCATTTATTACCTTTTTTAGCCAAATATTTACTTGAAGGCCCTAATGGTCTTAAGCTACCTCTCAAGCTATTAGGAAAAGAATGCAAGTCAAGCCCAAAGCCCAAGAAGGCAGGAAATTATTAAGATTAGAGCAGAAATTAATTCATTGGATATGAAGAAAAAATACAAACAACAAATAAATCAAATGCTTTGAAAGAATAAATAAAATTGATAAAACCCTAGCAACCTAATCAATAAAAGGAAAGCAAAACCCAAATTCATGCAGTAAAGAATAAAACACGTGAAATCCCTAATATCTACTATCAAAATCTTCCACCTCAGAGGATGGAAAGCATAGGTGAAATGGACAGTTTCTTAGATATATATGAAATGGTAAAACTGAATCAAGAGGATATACAAATTCTGAATGATGCAATAATGAGAAATGAAATTTAAAATGTAATTTAACAAAACCTACCAAG